CGCTGGCAGGATGCGGATCGTGGATGACGATGTGAGCTGGAACAGCATCGCCGCCGCCCCGGAGAAGGAGGAGGAGGAGGACGAAGGGGACATGCCTGTGGTGAGCGGGGAGCCCCGGCAGGCACCCTCAGTCTGCTGCGGTGCTCACCTCGTGTCTCCCTTTGGGAAGAACTCGCTGGAGCGCCTCTCCCTGCCCTGTTGGGGCGGGGTCTGCCTCGGGGGTGGGCGGCAGCCCGGCAGGCAGGAGGGAGGTCCCTGTGGATCCAGGCAGCCCGTGCTCTGCGGGCCAGCACGGGGCTCTGTGCTCTGGAACAGCTGCTGGAGCAGGGCACAGGGACTGGCATTGCCTGTGTGAGCAGTGGGAGCTGTCCCTTTTGCTGAGCCCCTGGTGCTCGCTGCGTGTTTGTAGGTGGCAGAGTTCATTGATGAGCGCCCCGAGGAGGTGAAGCTCATGGAGGAATTCCGAACAAACTCCAAATGGAAGCTCCTGGGAGGTGAGAGCAGCCCCTTCCACGCTCTCTCGTAATGCCTGGTTTCTCCAAACCATGATGCAAGTTTAAAATAACCCTGGAGGTGCTGGAGGGCTGCTGGGCTGTGCAGAGCCCTAGTAATGGTGGTTGCAATTGTTTTCCCTCAGATGAGGACTCACAGAGTTCGGATGTGTCGGGATCTGCCAAGTCTGCCTCGAGGTACGGGGGCTTAGTGCTGGGGCTCAGGGCTGCAGCACCCCAATGAACCCACGTTCACAAGCTGCTCCCAGCTCTGGGGCCCTGCTGTGTTTCCAGACAAGCCAGGCACAAAGGGAGCTCACTGTCACCTTCTCTGCCCTCACAGGCGGCGGTGCCACGACTCCCCAGAGCCCTCGGCCCCAGCAGGGAAACACAATGGCTCCCTGGGGCTCTCTGCTCCCAGGAGACAGAGACACGACACCCCTGATGTGTCCCCTCCCAGGAGACAGAGACATGACACCCCTGATGTGTCCCCTCCCAGGAGACAGAGACACGACACCCCTGACCCATCCCCTCCCAGGAGACAGAGACACGACACCCCTGACCCATCCCCTCCCCGGAGGCACCGTCACGACACACCAGACTCGTCACCTCCCAAAAAGCAGCGTCGTGACACCCCAGATCTGTCACCTCCCCGGCGTCGTCGTCGTCACGATACTCCTGACCCCTCACCTACCAGGAGACAGAGACATGACACCCCTGATGTGTCACCTCCCAGGAGACAGAGACACAACACACCAGACTTGTCACCTCCCAGGAGACGACGTCCTGGCACCCCAGATCTGTCACCTCCTCGACGGCGACAGCGTCACGATACCCCTGACCCCTCTCCTCCCAGGAGACAGAGACACGACACCCCTGACCCATCTCCTCCCAGGAGACAGAGACATGACACACCAGACTCGTCACCTCCCAGGAGACAGAGACACGACACCCCTGACCCATCTCCTCCCAGGAGACAGAGACATGACACCCCTGACCCATCCCCTCCCAGGAGACAGAGACACGACACACCAGACTTGTCCCCTCCCAGGAGACAGAGACACGACACCCCAGATCTGTCCCCTCCCCGGAGGCAGCGTCAGGATTTGTCACCTCGCAGAGAGAAGCCGGGCTCCCCGAGTGGGAGGAAGAGCAGAACGAAAGGTGAGTGTCACACACTGTGTTCTGGGGACCTGCTGGGACCCACGCTGCCAGGTGAGTGCTGGGGGCTGCTGCTCCACTGGCACAGCTGGCACAGCTGGCAGTGTGTCCCTGTGGGCACAGCTGGGTTGTACTTGTGCATAGCTGGGTGAGAGTTCAGCCAGCCTGCAGTGCCTCTGCTGCAACCTGGGCTGTGTGCACCTGAGCGTGCTCCTGCTGGGGGAGTCAGCAGCCCCTCACTCTGATTTATCTCCTGGGGGAGTCAGCAGCCCCTCACTCTGATTTATCTCCTCCTGGGGGAATCAGCAGCCCCTCACTCTGATTTATCTCCTCCTGGGGGAATCAACAGCCCCTCACTCTGATTTATCTCCACCAGGATGGGCAGTCAGCAGCCCCTCACTGATTTATCTCCTCCTGGGGGAATCAGCAGCCCCTCACTCTGATTTATCTTCTCCAGGGCGGGCTTCTCCCACCCAGAGGGACCAGCAGAGGTCACGGAGCCCCCCGGAGCACTCCCCACACCACCGAGATGCCAAGGGCTCTCCCAAGAAGGTAAAGTTTGTCTCTTTCCCTTCCAGCTGTGGAAGCCCAATGCTTGAGAAGCTGGGGAGTTCTTGGCTCTCACAGGGCTGTCCCTGCCCTGTTCCTGTGGTTTGGGTCAGCCCCTGTTCTGGCTGCCCCTCTCAGCCAGCTGTAACTGGGATTTGTGTGTTCTCCAGGCTGGCACGATGTCATCTGGGGCCAAAGCAGGCCTGGTGTCAGCTGATGTGCTGCAGAGGGAGAAGCAGGAGCTCAAGAAGCACGAGAGGAGCACCAGGCACCTGGAAGGTGGGAGTGGAACACAGCCTGAGCCCCAGCTCATTCCTCTGCTCTGTCAGGCCCTGGCACTGGGATGCTGCTGGGAGCATCCCTGAGGAGCTGCAGCTGGACGCGCTGCTGGGAGCCTTGGCCAGGGTCTCTGTTCCACATGGGGATTTCAGAGCAATGCCAGGGAGGTCACAGGGAGTGGGAAATGCTTCTCTGCAAGTCTGAGGGAGCTGATGGATAGTGAGAGCTCAGGGTCTGTGTGGGGCAGCAGGGAAATCTGAGATCCTGCCTGGATTTGGGTGGCAGGCTCTTTGGGAGACGAGGACAAGCAAAAGAGAAGTCCCAGTTAGTCATTGAATTGTCTGGAGGTGATAAAATGTTCCAGAATTGTGACTTGAGGCATGTGTCCCCTCCAGAGGAATCCCGGAACGCTCAGACCGTGTTCCGAGACAAGTCCGGCCGCAAGAGGAACCTGGCCCAGGAGCAGCTGGAGCAGAGGCTGAAGGCTGAGGCAGAGGCCAAGAGAGAAGAGCAATATGCCAAGTGGGGAAAAGGGTGAGGAAGGGACTCCAAAGCACAGTCCTTGGGCCTCCCATGTCCTGCTGTTAGTTTGGATCTGCTGCCAGACTGGTGTTGTGCTTCGAGGTTGAGCCTGGGACCAGCACGTGCTCCACGTGTCTGAAAGCCCTTCCTGTGCTGGAGGTGCTTTGGGAATGCTGAAAGCCCTTCCTGTGCTGGAGGTGCTTTGGGAATGCTGAAAGCCCTTCCTGTGCTGGAGGTGTTTTGGGAATGCTGAAAACCCTTCCTGTGCTGGAGGTGCTTTGGGGATGCTGAAAGCCCTTCCTGTGCTGGAGGTGCTTTGGGAATGCTGCACGGGCAGTGGGGATTGAGGGCTGTGACCCCTCCTGCACACTGAACCACTCCCAAGGAGCGGTGGCTGGGGTTTGGGTGACACACTGTGTTTTCCAGGCTGGCACAGGAGAGGCAGCAGCAGCAGAACGTGGAGGATGCAGTCAAGGAGATGCAGAAGCCCTTGGCCCGTTACATCGATGACCAGGACCTGGACCGAATGCTGAGGGAGCAGGAGAGGGAAGGAGACCCCATGGCTGCTCTCATCAAGAAGAGGAAGGCCAAGGAGAACAAGGAGAAAGGTATGTCTCTGGAGCACACCTGTCTAAGGTGTCAGCAGTGCAGAAATGCAGCTGCTGTTCAGTAAACAGCCAGGGGACACTTGTGGACCCTCTGGAGTTCCTGGCCTGTTACCAGTAGCAGTTACATGAGTTGTTAGCTGGGAGAGCAGGCCCTGCTGACTGAGGACTCAGCACTTTGTCATAGTGAACCCCTGGCAGCTGGAGCTGGCTGCCAGGAGCCTGTGCTCTGTACCTGCAGAACTTCCTGGGTGGGTGAGGATGTGGCCACCTGGCTGTGCTGAACACAGCTCCTCTGCTCTTTGTGTTCCAGAAAAACCCAGGTACAAGGGACCAGCACCTCCCCTCAACAGGTTCAACATCTGGCCCGGGCACCGCTGGGATGGTGTGGACAGGTAATGTTCCTGTTGGAATAACAGTGAAAATAAGGAGTTTTGCTTCAGGGCATTGCCAGTTATGGGGTGAGTGAGGGGGTTGGCACCGGA